TCCGGAGGTTGAAGGAGGCGCTCATCAACTATCCAGTGCTGCGTGCTCCAGACTTCGACCGGGAGTTCATCATCTACACTGATGCGTCTAACAGCGGGGTAGGAGCGGTTCTTTGCCAGGAGGATGAGAATGGTGACCAGCATCCGGTGTCCTACCTGAGTAGGAAACTTCAAAAAGGTGTGAGACATTTGGCAACCGTGGAGAAGGAGTGCCTGGCCATGGTCTACGCGATCCAGAAGGCCAAGCCTTACATCTGGGGAAGACATTTTGTTCTGTGCACTGACCATTCACCACTGCAATGGTTAACGACAATGAAAACCCACAATAGTAAACTTATGAGGTGGGCTTTAAACCTACAGGACTATGACTTTGAAGTGAAGGTGGTCAGAGGGTCAGTGAACTGTGTTGCTGACGCCTTGTCAAGAAGACCTGAAGAATGAAGACGGCGAAAGTAACATGGACTATGTATATATTTTGATGACAAAAAGTCAAATGTGTCTGTTTATTAAACATGTTGGTTTGTATGAATAAAGGTAACTTGATGTATTGTAAATGGTAAATGTTTAACTTAGAGTGTAAGTATAAGTAAGTATGATATTGTATGTATAACTGTTTTTGTGTGTTTTATCCAGGTTGTTTTTTGGTGAAAAGCACCTTAGCTTTCCCCCTACAAAACAACTTATAAAGAGGGGAGGTGTTACATACAGCACTGATGTTACCTGTCTGTCCTGGGTTTGGAGGGAAAGTTCCATCCTATGGGGAGTGGAAGGCGGGACATCAGGAGGAGGGGCTGTACTGTATATATATGGGGATCCTGTGTGGAGAAGTTTAGAAGGAGCTGAGAGAAGAAGCTGGTGTGGGAGTCTGTGTGTCAGACAGGGTACTACTGTGTGTCAGTCAGTACCAACCTGATAGGTTCAGGTGTCTGTATGGTTAGCCAGAACTGATAGGTTCAGGGTCTGTGCTTCAAGTTAAGTGTTCTGTGTGAACCAAACTGTGTGTATGTATGATTGAGACTAAGCCACGTTACTGTATCTTATCCACTTGATCATTTTATTTTCCCTGTGTGTTATGTAAATAAACCTTATTCCTTTATTTGTTAAAAATCCATTCCTGGTCTGTGTGACTTCTTATAGGGAATGGTTGGTGGCAGCTGAGTGAAACTGTGGCCTATCCCAGTAGGTCTGGGTTTGTCACAGTAAGCACTCGAACAATGGAGGCCTTCGAGAGTAAATCAGACAACCAATCTCTCGGATCTCTTTTGGCTTGGATTTCTGCCTTGAGCAGAGGGTTTGACATGATGGCCTTATAACTTCATTATTTTACGGGTCTATGATTCTAACTAAACCACAGCACTAAAGATATATATTTTGCCCAAGACCAAATGTCATCCAAATAAAGATAAATACTTTGTCCAAAAAAAAAGATTATAAATGCCTATAAAGAGGATGGGGGCTTCCATAAAATCAGCTTAGGCTAATTTCTGTGAATAGATGCAAATTTAGAAATCCGAACTATAATTACAACAGAAATACAGTACATCTTGCCATGGTGGAGAAGACAAATCAACAGTCACATATCTTCTGATCCTGAACAGTCTGGTTTCCAGATGCTGACTCTGAGAGGATAACTTCAAGGCCTGCTCTTTGTTTTTCAACTGGACATGGACTGAGCAGTCCTTCAATCTGAGGACACCCTAAGATCGAGGACTGGCCTCGATAAAGTACGAGACAAAGCCACCTTGCCTTTAGCAGTAGAAGACTGCCACCCACAGATAACACTCCTGTTAGGGCTATTTGTAGCACGAATAGAGCCGTTTTGACATATATTTATTTACTTCGCCTTTCTCCTTAGAAAGGACCCAAGAAAGCTTATCAAACACAATAATTAAAGCTTTAAAAATTGAGGATAGGAAGTGGCTTAAATCATTAAAAGGCAATAATTAAAGCTAAGTATAAAGCTGAGTATTCCAAGGTGGCTTACATCATTCTGTATATTTGCAAAGCCAGAGCCTAGAAATGTTACTTTTATGGAAGAGAATGCATCCCAGAAAGCCATTTTTTGCCAGCTCTGAGGCCGAGAGAGCTTTTCCAGACGCTTCTTGGCATCCCCAGGAAGACTCACCTCCCAGAAGCCCTTGTGAGAAACCCAGGCCCCTTAAAGTCATTATAAACGGCACCCACTCATTAGCATGGATCACAAGATCTTTGGGATGAGGGTGACTGTACCCCTACCTGTCCGCTGTTGACAGCAGCGTGCTGGGCGGAACAGGCAAAAATCACCATAGTCAAGAACTTCTTCAGCTCTTTCACGGTGCTGAAGGAGGAAGGGATACCTGGAAGGGCAAGAGGAGAACTAAATTCAGTCAATACTATAGACAGAGGTGAGTCCTTGATAGGCTTGTAGGGAAGGTGCAAAGTCTCTGATTCTTGCATGCCTGCAATCCGGTGCCTATGCCTTATCGGTGTGGAAATGGGTTCCTTTACGCCAATTGTTGTGGAGTGGGCTGATATGGGCAGAATGGGGTCATTGCGGGTTTGTTGGAAGTCCAATATGCGATTTGAGTTGACCCTCACATCGATATGGCATTTTGGAGGTCAAGCGACCTCGTTTGGTCCAGCTCCTCCAGGTTATCAGCAAACTGGACACTTTCTCTGCTCTTCGACTTTAAATGGTAAAGCAAGTCACATTTAAGATATCCTGTTCCCACCTGGATTGGAGGTAACTGGGCAACATTAATGTGCACTGAAGAGCATAACAAGGTCGCTTCGATAATCACATGCAGATACTTAACCTCCACACCACTCACTGCTGATGGACAAGAGACAAGAACTTCTAGCCCTCTAAAAAGGTAAAGTTTCCCCTTGATATTTTTAGTCCAATCGTGTCCGACTCTAGGGGCTTGTGCTCATCCCGTTTTCGAGCCATAGAGCCAGTGCTTGTCCAAAGACAGTTTCCGTTGCCACATGGCCAGCATGACTAGGGAACACCGTTTTACTTCCCCACCGAGGTGGTACCTATTTATCTACTCACACCTACATGCTTTCGAACTGCTCTAGATGTTCCCATAATGCCTCACCTCTGTCTAGGGCTGAAGACGGAGGCCCTCCAGAAGCCAGTCGCCTGTTCATCTTGTCGGAAACCTTGACCACCTCGGGGGCTCAAACCTACCTGAAGATTTCTCTCCCATGAAGCCTCTGTTGAAGATCTCCTCAATCCAAGCCTGGAGTTCCGGATCTTCACTTACAGAGTGATCGTCTCGATAATACAAGTCAACGATGCCAGAGACAAAACTAACAAGAAAAGGGAAGAGGATGGTTAGGGGTAAATGGTGGACTCCTTAGGGACCTTTTTTTCCTCCCAGTTCCAGAATTTTGGTCCAGTCCACTCTTTTAAGTCCAGAAATATCACCGGCCTTTCCTGGATTTAGATGCGGCTTAGAACTGGAGGTTGGAAAAGTGACCGCATTGGGACTAAAAATCCCTTCGACCCCTATAACTAGCATAGCATAGATTTTCTCAGTTCTAATCAGAAGACAGTTAACCCTCACTCAGTTTTAGAGATGCACTTGTGGTCCTCAACCCTCCCTAAGGAGTGCTTAGCACTCGGTCAGAGAGTTCGAGAGGCCAATGACCTACCACCTTTGCGCTGGGGCAAGTCCCAAGACCTCAGCAGTGGGTAATGTAAGCCCCTTGAAGAAGTCTGACCTTAAAAGAGCACTTTATTTTTACCCAGTACTTTGCAAGTACAGACACATGGGCTTTGTGATTCCTGAGAACTCACAATAGCTCAGTTAGGTACGACTCTTAAAGATAGCTAATTTGTGGCCCTCTCCACTCCCTGGATTGAACCACACCCTGCTGTTCAAGAGACCAGTCCTTTGGTAAGAATTTTTATAATTATTTTTATTAGAAAAAAAGAGTTTCATAGAATCAATTTATATTGCTCAAGCTTTAGCATCAGTCTTCAAAAAACACTCTCATGGCACTTAGAAAAACACATTCCAATGTCTCTCACACCATCTCCACACAGAACTCTATCTTACATTTCTCTGACTACATATCCCACACTGCTTCAACTCCATCACAGCAGTTCCCAAATAACACACAGAAAAATGCATGGCTGCCTAGGGGATTCTGGTTGTTGGGGTCCAAAAAAGTAACCTCTCTAGGTTCTGGTAGATACAGACCCACAAAATCATCCACAAAAGGTCTCATGAGGTCAGAACAGACCCAGCGTCGACCCAGCCTTCATTCCATAGCCATGCCACCCAATTGCCTACCCCCCCGCGCTCTCTCCCTGCGCCCGCCTGACCTTTCTGTGGCTGCCCAGATCTTCAGACCATCATCCTTGTAGTGAAAATTGGGCAA